TTGTTTAATTTGTTTAATTTTTATATTACGACTTTGCTGACAAAACAATGCATTTCTGTATGCGGTTCCCTAGGACTGGTGTTCCTGCAAGAGACGAAGAATATATATATTTATTAATATTTCTAAAATATTTTACATATTGTTTAATTTTTATATTACGACTTTGCTGACAAAACAATGCATTTCTGTATGCGGTTCCCTAGGACTGGTGTTCCTGCAATACAGGAACGAGACGAAGAGGGCATTGCTACCAAACGAGATCACCAGTATAGACACGGTCAAAGCCCTTTTCGTTAGAAGCTTTCCAAAACAACTCACCATGGAATATCTAGATAGTCCCCACGTAAAGGTTTACATACACGACAGCAACAAGGACATGTTCTATGAACTCGAAGATTTAAGGTATTACATTTTTCTGCGACTGTAAATATCTTCCTTTTTATTTAAATAATTAAATATTATTTTGAATAAAATATTTTATTACTAAATATTATTTCCTTGTTTGTTTTTGCAACGATAATTGAACAGAGTTAAAAACATTTTAAATTCAATTATATTATAAAATTTACTAGATAAACATTATCATTTAATATTCTAAAATTCTAAAGACATTATAGTTCAAATTAATTTAGTTTTTGTTATAATAATGACTTTTAATAATGGCTAATTTCAATAAAAAAACGTTATTGCAGCATAATAATATAATTGTTTTGGTTTTTAGATCGCATCTGAGAGATATCAGGGATCGCAGCGTTCTGAGACTTTTCGAGAGTGGGACCCTTGGGAGTACCAGGAGGTGGCGGCGGTTTACCGCCCCATTGGGAAGATCAGAGCTACTTCAGCGAGCCAGAATTCGACAGCGAATATCAGCATCAGCACATTCACAAGAGCAAGGTAAGTGCACGTTTATGAGACTCTGTCTTTAATCCATATAGCTTGCACATTCTCTTTTTTCGGAGAACGGTCAGGTTTTTACTTGATAGAATGTATTATTACGTGGTATGACGTTTGAAAGATGCTTATTCTTTCGTTCTATTATATGCAATATGATTCCTAAGCATATTAGGCAAATATATTTTTAAAAATTGTCGAATATTCAAAGTTGATATAAACGTGAAATATACATGTAATGATTAATCTCGCTTATTAGTTATCTCTATAGGAAGTTATAAAGAATATTCTGTAAATATTAAAATTTTTTTGGATACACAGATATTTCAGTAATATTTCTCGCTGAAATATATATTTAGCGCATTTTATTTTATATATTTTATTTTATATTCAATATAAAAGACATGATTAAATTTTTTTTTTCAAAGAAAAAACAATTATATATATATATAAATTTTGACACATAGAGAAATCTGATATTTTGTTCAAGATTAGTTACCTTTAAATTATAATCGTTATTGCATACAAATTTTTTTTTGAAAATAAATTAAGATAATAGAAGACAAAAATCTCAAGGTAACAATAATAACTATTAATATCGTAAGGTATGTGAGATACGATCAGTCAAAAATTGCTGATTTTAATTAAGAAATATACTTTGCTTTATGTTAAAAAATTGGTATATAAGGTCGAATCAAATGGAACATAATACAACTTTATTTCATAAAAGTTCATAAAAGTTTATTCGGCATATTTACGTCACACATGTACGCAAACATATCAATAGGGCTAAATCTTGAGCTTAGGCGACCGAGGCGTATGTCGCCGATCGATCAAGGCGGTTTCCGTCGCGCAATTAAATTCTCCTTCGTCTCGCCGAGGTCAATCGATCAGGACGCACTTTAAAACCGTGATGAGTATTCTGTCAAGAACGATCGTTATTATTCATGATCAATTTCTCGAACTTACAAACTAATATTGTCCTATTACGCCGACTACGTATACATTTCACTAATGGAATTTCTCTTAATTAAATTCTATATATATACTTTTACATATGAATTATCGGGACTTTTATCAGCTTTGTTTCATTAGAAAAGTCTTCGGTCACATGTAACAATACTAACAAAAAAATTGTAGCCATTTTTTAACTAATCTTTAAACAAAATTTGAAATTTTTTTACTCTTTATATTATTGTATATATTTAAATATTACAAAAACATTCTTCATTTTTGAGCTTTTTTATGTCATATAGTTATTATAAATTATTTATTAATATATTTCTCTTTATATTTAACAAAGATTGCAATAATTCTTCTTGTTACAATTGATCCAAAACTCGTTACACACAAATAACTATGGAATCTGTATATAATTAGTTTTTAATGTCATACAATTAATTAGACATAAATTGCAAATAAATATGATCGGCAAGATATTGTCACGCACAAGTTTTTTCATGGCAATGTTCTTGGCATCTTTAAATGTTCATAAATGCCAACGTTTACAAATATAACATAGAGAAAAATAACGATTCATCACCAGAAAATAATGTATACGTGAAAAGAAATTAATGAACAGCGAAAAATAAATCAAAAGACTCGAATGACAAATATCTTCGCTTGTAACGGCTAAAGATACTCGTCAATCTAAACATGGCGTGGGATACCTGGGAATGTTTCGTCGGTCTTTCGTCGACCGTTTAACAAAGCGCTATCGTCATTATCAGCGCAGTCTTTCGCGGACGCACCCCTGAGAATTCACGCGAAACGTTTTTAAATGTCATTTTGCGCACTGGCTCATGGTCGGTGAAGAGATTTAGAACGCTTTACACGTCGGTGTGGCTGGCATGTAAAACGCTCCGGAATAGAGCTTCTTGGGCACCGTTCTCCAGTCCATGACCAACGCCTTTTCGAACGGTTCCTCGGCGCAGCCGTCGCAAATGTCCATCACTTGTCTGACCTCGCCTTCGGCGGGTTCCCGTTCGTCCTCTTCGCTCGTATCCTTCGTCAATTGCAACCCGAAACTCGTTAATCCCGTGAAGTAGTCGTTGTCCAGACCTTGAGGAATAGAATATCCGTCGTCGAAAATCGACCCGTCACTCAGTTGCAACAGTCCTCGCTTCTTCTTCTTCTCGACTTCGCGTTTTTCTAATTTCTTGTCATCCGCGATTTCTAACTTTGGCACGAAAGATACCTGAAAGTTCGAGGAATGAAACGCGCGTTATGTGCTATCGATTTAATAAATAGTAATTTAAAACATGTACATATATTTGTATATATTAATAATAGGAGTAGAGATTTTCAGAAGGTTTCTTTGGGTAAGTCTTAATCGGATACTTTTATAGAAAACGAAAAGATTAGAATGGAATAATATTATAAAATGATATAAACTTATTAAGTAAATAATCTTCGTAACGCAATACAAATCTTTCAAACTGTGGAAATTTATTTGAAAATGCAAAAGTTATTAAATGCGCGGCGGATCTTTTCGAGGCAATACAATGAAAAATCTCATGATTTTTGTGCAAGCAAGTCGAATGCATTCACTGATGTTAAATTATTTCCAGTCTGATTCACACTGTAATCTTTTGATTTCCTATGTCAAATAGATCGGAAATTGAAGGAACTTACAATTTGATGTTCGCTGAAGAAAATTCTTTTTACTGTTAGAGATTTTTACGAACGAATAGATGTTTAAGCTATTAGTGTCTTCCAGTTAAAACAAAGCAGAATATACTATGAAATAAGACATTGAAAGCAAAATATATATAAATAAAATGTTAGAAATTGTAGGAAATGTCTTATTAGAACGTTTTCATTCTTTAATCGGCATCACATAGAAAATTAACTTCGAATTTAATTGTGCTTACCTTGCCATTGGAACTATCAGTTTTCGAAATTTCATCGGTATCTCTTTTTGCAATCGATTTTTCCGATTCGGTCAAACTCGATATTACTGTTTCATCCTTAATGTTTCGCTTCTTCGAGTCATTTTTCTCTCTCTTAAAGAGATTACGATAGAGCCCGTCTGCGAAAATCGACGACTGTGATGGACTGATGAATTGTGTCGGTGAAGGAGGGAAGGCTGTTGAGAAAACATCGAGATTCAAAGGCGGAAGCGGTTGTGGGGGCGATTCCGGTGCCGGTGGTAATGCTGGATGACGAATGGTTAGGCCGTTTTGTACGATCTGAATCGTTGCTCCTGGATTGATCTTCACCTGGAACATTTGTTCGCACGCATGAAATATTCATGCTCGATCGAGCGTAGCAATACGTAGGAGGAGATAAAGAGGCGGTTTAAATAACACGTATGACGTTTAAAAGGTATCTGAACAAAGAAATTATTAAAGCTTCAAGAAGCATAAAAACGTCCTACGAGACGTCCTAATTTTTCAGACGCTTCATAGACGCGTCTTTTAGACGCCTCCTCGTTGTTTACAGTGACGCTAATTAAGGAGTGGTGGGAAGGTAATTAGCTTGATGACACGGCACACGCGCACTCTCAGATGTAACAAAGTGAGAGAACATAATTGTACTTGTGTATTGATCTGTCCACCAGTGAGGAAGGGATGCGCTGGCAAAGGTGGTCCGGTTACAGGTGTTTGCGTAGTGGTTCTCGGTATGTTATTACTCGTATCGTGTTCGTAATGATGGACGTGATGGTGCTTGTGATCCTTGTGCGCCTTTCCCGCTGTCAGCGCTACGTTGTAGAGCTGTACCATTGTCAATTCTCCTAAATAGCCGCCGGAACCTGGAGAAAAATCTTTTTCGTTATCATCTTAAGACATGCTATAACATTTCTTAAAGCAATAATAGGTTTTTACTTTACATGCTTAAATTATAAGTAAATTATATATATATTTTAAATTTTAACTTTGGCAGCACAAAAAAAAAATTTTTCAGAATATATCTATATTTTTAAATTGTATATGTGATAAAAATATATTAAACAAAATTTTTACGTATGTAAAAATACATCGGAAAATTGAATTAACTAATTAAGAAGGTTAAAAAATATAAAGGAAATTCAAATATATTGAAATTCAATTAATAATAATCTCGATAAAGAAGATACAACGCTTAGAGACACATATGTGAAGAAACTGTTCATGTTTAACATTATATATATCGATAATTAATCTGTTATTAAGAAAAGGTAACATTTGTCTTTTTATTTTAAAATTAAAGATATAATGTAAAAATATTTTTACCCGGTGGCGCGCCTTCACCCTCTAAGAAACCACCGCCCAGTTGTCGTTGCTGTTGTCCGGAAATGGCAATTCCACCGCCTTTGATAACGTGCCCAACCAACTGGAATAAGTAGAGCAATACAATTTTTTTCGCATAACAAAAAAATCTAGAGAGTATTTTCCGATAATCGCCTCTTTACTTATTAGACTAACACGCGTGCAATTAATCTGAAAATACAGTTTGACCCAACAGTGATTTAATCGATTGCTGGAGAAAAAACGCGGACATTAGCGATATATAAACTACTGACGTAAATAGTATATATAAAAGCCTCGGATTTTGCGTTCCCTATGTACGGATAGATTGCACATCCGCAGTCACGCGCGCCACGCTATATGAAAATTTAAATTGGTTTCTGTGCTTTTTTATTTGAAAGTAACCTTGGTATCCTCGGACGAGAATATCGCGATATATGGAATTCTATACTTTTCCATTTCCCGTTTATTCTATTTCGTCGTCCATTCTTTCGCCATTTCGTTTCTGTTCAACGCAATCTGAATGCAGGAGGCCGTCGTCTTGACAGCTCCTACGGAGCTGAACGGACAGTGAATTATTTTCTTAATTGCGAATCTCGCCTAATTGCCGACAACTGTAATTATGCTTGGTAATTATTATAACTTCATTTATCTAATGTTACATCAGTATAAAAATCACTATTGGGTTGAACGGAAAGTTTGTTCCGTTTAAATGGCACGAACTTTCCGTTCAACCCAATATTTTCTTCAGAATATATAATTACACTTGTCATTTTTCTTAATTATTATATTATATAATATCTTATAAAAGATATCATATTTATTGTGATACACGTGTTTAAAAACATATTCGACTAAATTTCTATAGTATTAATAAATTCGAATAGAAATGAACAAAATTTCTATAAACAAACGTCTTAAGGATAAATACATTTTTCATGACACATTGCATTTCTATAAATGTATTATATTATGCAAGTGTCGTCTAACCAAAAACACAGATTAAGTACAACAAAACCGCGATGACAGTGCACTCAACTTTCGCGTGGGAAAGGCACGACTAAACGCGACACATTCGCGAACGTGACTCGTGTACAGAAAATGCCGGAAGTACGCTCGTTTAAGAAATTTCTGGCGCGTTTAACATAAACGATAATTGAGAAAACTGTAATGTGGGACCCTTATGCAACGGTACCCTTATACGAAACAAGACATGCCTTCTCATGCCACGTTGCTCGTGAATGTTTCTCTTCCTCTACTCTAGTACGTACGCAATTCGCGCCAGACATTTGTGGAATGATAATAAATTATATTACGATATGTGAAATCGCGCACAATAAAGCGCATCTCTGTTTTGCAAGAATTTAAGACCACGGATATTTTTACTTATACAGAATTAAGAATTCTTGAATTATTGCATATAACTTGCAAGAGAAACAACGCATATTTTTTAATAAAATATTTTTTATGATTTACTTGTGTATGTCTAAAACATGTCATATATCAAGTATTTCGCGAAATTTTCTTGCGCGAATTTTACGTAAAATTTACGTAAGTACGTCACGTACCATAAAATAAGAATTTGTCTGTTAGTTATTTCGGAAGATTAAGTTTATCTCGAATTTTAATGCGGAATAAAAAATTTTGCCATATACATACTTTAACGCAAACAATACCAAGTACCACAATATAATAAGATTGTTTATTTCAATAAATCGTTTTGTTTTAACGCAATTATAATATGTATATTGCACTCATCATTTTAAAAACTTGTCTTAATATTTCTCTAATTCTTAAAAATTTTTTTCATATTACATAAAAATTTGAAAAATTTGATAAAGTCGGAAAGTTAATTAGTAGCTAGAAGATTAATAGCTCGAAATTAATAGCTACAGTAGATTTTTTTTTTGCATCGTAGTAGTAGAGCCACGTATATGGTCGGACGCATCTTCCATCCAAGAATAATCATTTGTAGCTTTTTTGTATATTAAGTTACAGCATGTCTATTAAGTTGAATATTTATTATTTTTTAACGATTATATATAACAATCGCGCTTTATAATTCATCAAGTTTGCACTGCTGCATTATAATAAATTAATTGTCATCGTTTTTACAGTACGATTTTAGGTATCTTTTGAATTTCGCGAGATTTATCCGTTTTTTATATCTTACAAAAGCAAAAAAGCAGGTCACAAAAGAATGCATATCGCGCCAAGAAAACTGAAAAAATGGCATAATGCGCATTTTAATGAAGGCTAAATGAATATTTACATCCTTAGAGATGCATAAACGAAAGAACGATTATTTAGATTCGGAAGAATGATAAAACACGAGGGAGCGATTAGTGGCACGATAATAAAGTTTGACTCGAACACGAAAGAAATATTTGTTTGTATTTTTTTATTAGAATACCAAGGACAATGCGCCACGATTTGTCGTTTTACAAGAAATATAATTTTAATTTTTGAACTTTTCTGTTAAATAAAGTAGTCAAATGTCCAAATTTGAAAAATTGAATTATTCGCTTTTTGCCAATTTCGGGATTCTTTATACGTCTATCTATCTAAGTATGTGCAGTAGGGTCAAAGGCAACATAAAGTCGTGCTTACCCTGTTGTTGAACCCGCGACCTACGCGCTCATCGTTGACCCAAATCTGCCATTCCCCGGTACGACCGTTCCAGCTCTGGCAGGAGTGGTACCACTTGTTAAGTCTCAACGGATAATTCAATCTGTATAAGTTGTGACCGTTGACGTTAAGCATGTAGTACGAACTTCTCGCTGTGTTTGCGACCCACGACAGTATTCCTCGTGGTTGATCACCGACTGGAAGTCGAGGATGAGAATTAACTCGTATGCGAAAGAGAAAGAGACAGAGGATTCTTGTGCACAAGTACAATAGAATAGATGCAACATCTCTATTACATGATAACTGGTGAAATTACTAATAGAATCAGCAGTGCAGATTTTGACAATTTCAAGTGTAGAATCCGCATTTGATATTTTTGGACGCTTTCGCGCTATAAACAGTCGAGCGAGGATATACAAGAGTTTTTTGCATTCGTATTTTATAAATTATTGAATTTATTAACAAATTAAAAATTAATACTAGTTTGTTACCTTTATTCACTGTTTTAAAATCATTTTTAATTAATCTCAACATTCATAATTTTTCCGATACTTAACAATAACAGTTTATTAGATACAATTATTTTCTATATATTACGACTTTTTTATAAATTTTTTTATAATCTATGCTTCTAGAATTATTAACTTGTTATATTACATAACAAGTTTAAAGAGCTTTGTCATGTCTACAACTTCTAACTCGACATTTTATAAAGTTCTGCATTCCATCTTATTTATCGAGTTATAATATAAATCGATTTTTCTTACTTATGTAAGAATTTTATTACAAATAAATTTAATTGTTATTGCACTTTTATTCTCTAAAAAATCTAAAAAAATTACTTGCATATTAAAATTTTAATGGCGTATATTGAGAAAGATACTTTTATTTTTTATATACTATAATATATATGGTACATTTCTAGTATATTTATTGATTATGAAAGCCGAGAGACTTTTTTTTAGACTCAAGCGAAGGGAGGGACTTATTGTTGGTGTATTTATGACACCGCACATATCCGTCTATTGTCACGTTCTCTCGCGTCTACGGAAAAAAGAAAGAAAAGAACAATCTGTATGTATATGGGTGTGTGTTCGCAACTTTCTACAACGGTACAAAAACTGCAAACCGCGTGGAACCTTTCTAAACTGCATATTGAAAACATTGCCGGACGACATCATTGTTCGCGCGTGAATAATAATACACGGGCGTAAATCGATTCTTAACATGACATGAGAGATGACAGTCTGTTGCATGACTGTTACTTATGAAGTTAAATCACTAATTTGCAAGAAGAAAGAATGTTGTGTGGGAATCGATTACGCAATGAGACTGAATAAAACTGTTGCACCGCGTTTCTAAGCGTTTAAACCGCGTTTAAAGATTATATTATCGTAATTTTATTTGCTGTATCATTTATAATCACATAGACTGTACGAATTTAATAAGAGCATTTTAATGAAATGCTATTTCACACTCATCATACATAAAAACAATTACGTTATTGTATTAAAAACATTATCATACGTTACTATAATAGATTATAATAAATTCATAAAAACAAGTATAATTAAATTTAAATATCGTAAAAGTGATCGATATTATCAATATTTATACATATATGTTTGAACTTTATATCAAACTTTATAATGTTTAAATTTTCATTACGAAAACAATATCTCTGCAAATAGAAAATGTTATTTGTAATTATTTGGGCAATATTTTAACATAGCTAGAGAGATCGTTCAAACAAAAAAATAGCGATATGTTATTTTTCGGGTATGTATGTACTATCTAAATATCATGGACATGTCGCTCATTTTTACAAATGCTGACAATTTAATTTACCTAACCGTTTATTTGCAAATTTGCTTATCCGCAATTTCCGCAGTGTTAGTAAACAATTACTGAGAAACTAGGTCAACGGCAAATTAACGCGCCGCGTAAAATTTGTTAATCAAACACACAGTTTGCACTACAATTTAAGACCGCAAGTTTATACAGCACTTTTATAGCGGTAACGAGTTTTCAATGCAAAAAAAAACGTTTATCTTTCTTCTTTATATTTATCATCTTTTAATTATAGATAAATGAGACATGTGTAATTAAATTACAAATCGGTTATTTTCTTTCTTACATGGTTCAAGTGCAATGATATTTATTATCATTGAATAGAAGTTATATAACAAATTTCTATACATGCCAAAATGTTTCACGAAAATTTCTATGTGAAAGTATTTCAAATAAATTTGATTTTAATAAGCTTATGTTTAATATTTATTTCAGATTTAATCAAACTATAAAACAATAATCAACTGTTGATTTTTGCTAAAAAAAAAGTTGATTTCAAATAGTAATTCTATATTTTTGTTCTCTTGTAGTTAGAGGTGGAATTAATTCACAATGCAAATCGCATACGCCATAACTATCATTGAATAGAAGTTATATAACAAATTTCTATACATGCCAAAATGTTTCACGAAAATTTCTATGTGAAAGTATTTCAAATAAATTTGATTTTAATAAGCTTATGTTTAATATTTATTTCAGATTTAATCAAACTATAAAACAATAATCAACTGTTGATTTTTGCTAAAAAAAAAAGTTGATTTCAAATAGTAATTCTATATTTTTGTTCTCTTGTAGTTAGAGGTGGAATTAATTCACAATGCAAATCGCATTTTTAACGCCATAATATGCGCGATAATATGCGGAACTTTAGGCAATAAATGTGGCGGACTTTCGCTTTCACATCCGATATATTTCACAATAAGATACAAGGTGAAAGGAGAAAGAAATGAATTTCAGCGTGCACTGACCTGCGTAAGAGAACAGAGGATGGTCGTTGGAATGATTGTAAAATTTCGTCCACATACAGAGAGTGAACTCCTTCATGTTTGGCAGATCTGTCTTGTAATGGATGTACTGTAACAGAATGAGAGATAGATCGTTAGATCGTGTCGGCGAATGCTCGGATGACATTAATTTCGTACCTATCGCGATTTAAATTGTCAATTCTCCCGGTATACACAGCGAAGATTAATGTGCTCCGTGTGATTTAATCACCGGATGCGCATTTCCGCGTATCACATCGGGTCTTACATTATTAATCGTCGGCATCGATCCCGTCGCGATATGATCTCTCACTAAAACGCACGTTAAAGTAAAGCTCGTCTGTGCGAATAAACGTTCTCTCGGATCCGTTTGAACGGATGCAATCAAGCAATCACAGAAGAGACAACATCTGTTGTTTAATGTGGATAATTAGAATTTGATAGACATTTGAGTTTACATTTTCGCACTAAACGATCTGTCAAATAATATTGCCAAATCACATAGTGAAATGTTCCTCCAAGTGAGAAAATAATATGAAAATACATGGAAAAAAGAAAAGTGCCTTTTATTGCCACACACAAGCATAATTTTATAAATATATATTTTTTTAATTTGTGACACGAAATTGCAACAATTATTGCATTTACGTATTAATTAATTATATTGGCCGTTGACATGATACATACCGGGACTCAATTAAACTTACGTACGAACATTGCTCCGACTCTCTAGGACGTATATCAAATATAATGATGAATAGTGCACATTTGATGCCTTGGGGAATGAAATTGTCTCCTACGGAATCGTGATATAATAAACACTCGCGTTTACCGTGTTTATTGTAATGCTATTCTAAATATTAATGTCTCTCAATATGAAATATTAATATAACAAGTATGAACGAATTAAGATAATTATGAAACAGATATTATAGAACATAAAAATGTATAATAGTTTATTTTTTTCAGAATAATAAAAATTGAAACATTATATTAAATTAAAAAATTGGGAAACTATACTGTGCCGTTACAAAAATAATAATTTTAATTCGAAACATGTTATTTCTATTCGTTTTCTTGTGTTTATTTGTATTATCATTGATTTTTTCCGTCACTGACAGATTTTACAAAATTTTTTATTTGTTTCGTTTTTTTTTGTGCAAAAATGTAATAGTGCATCGCAATACAATCATATTTTTAAAAGTTTTTTGCGACGAAAATAAAATTACGTTTTATGTTTTTTTTTTTGCTTCCTCATAGAGGAAGCTTTGTTTTCGTGACAAAATTTTTTTTCGAGTTTTCTATGCCAATGTGTTTAGAATGTTCCAAAACGTCGAAAAATCATATTCCTAAAAAATGTCTGTATGTATGTATGTATGTATGTATGTATGTATGTATGTATGTATGTATGTATGTATGTATGTATGTATGTATGTATGTATGTATGTATGTATGTATGTATGTATGTATGTATGTATGTATGTATGTATGTATGTATGTATGTATGTATGTATGTATGTATGTATGTATGTATGTATGTATGTATGTATGTATGTATGTATGTATGTATGTATGTATGTATGTATGTATGTATGTATGTATGTATGTATGTATGTATGTATGTATGTATGTATGTATGTATGTATGTATGTATGTATGTATGTATGTATGTATGTATGTATGTATGTATGTATGTATGTATGTATGTATGTATGTATGTATGTATGTATGTATGTATGTATGTATGTATGTATGTATGTATGTATGTATGTATGTATGTATGTATGTATGTATGTATGTATGTATGTATGTATGTATGTATGTATGTATGTATGTATGTATGTATGTATGTATGTATGTATGTATGTATGTATGTATGTATGTATGTATGTATGTATGTATGTATGTATGTATGTATGTATGTATGTATGTATGTATGTATGTATGTATGTATGTATGTATGTATGTATGTATGTATGTATGTATGTATGTATGTATGTATGTATGTATGTATGTATGTATGTATGTATGTATGTATGTATGTATGTATGTATGTATGTATGTATGTATGTATGTATGTATGTATGTATGTTTGGTGAGTACCGGTGAAAGGGTTCATTTTTTATAAAATTTTGAATTTTTTGAAAAATGTCTTTACACGCTGTAACTTTCAGAAAATTTGAAATATCTGATTAAATTTTTTTACATGAATAGAGTATTATTAAAGGATGTTTGATATTGAATTTAGTGAGGATCGGTGAAAGAAATTATTTTAATTTTTATTTCGCTCACAAAGCTTTCTCTATGAGGAAGCAAAAATTGAAAAATCCGCATGCTTAAAGCAGCTTAAGCATTGTAAGATAAAATGATGAGGAAGCAATGTGCAAGTTTTTAATTTGCACAACTCTACTTGTTTTTTATGTTTTTGCTTTACTCCCAAAGAAGCATTTTTCTCAAATTACATTTCCACCTTTCAAAATGTGCTTTAAAAAATATCAGATGCAAATTTTTTTAACTACTTTTTCTTCGGATGTCACTATTAATCGCGAAAGATTTTTAAAACGGAAATTCTAAATCCTATTAAAAGCCGACGCAAGCGTGACTCGACACCTAGAGAGATACCCGTAAGAGTACACGATTTTTCTACAGTGATTGCGTAAATTCACGGTTAATCGATTACGTCGTGCGTTATTGACGCGAAAGAGGCATAGTTTCTTGCGCGCGTAATTTCTCTGACAGGGGCTCTGTATGGAGAGCGGATTTCGCCAAAAGCGGGCCGCAAAATCGCGGTGGCAACGACTGCGGTCGAGATTGCACGTCCAATTCCTTTTACGGTCGTCAACTCACATAAACTTGCCGTTCACTATACTAAGTACTATGGAAATATACGCGTCAACGCGCATTACATTCGTCGAATAAGGACCTGACAGGTAATGTTTCAACCGACCTCTAACGATAAAAGGGGATCTCGTAAATTTGACGAGCAGGATGAAATATTCAATCGCGTATATCCAGTGAGACGCGTTCGCTCAATTTTCTTGCATGTGTTTGCATTAAAGTGATTTGTATCAGCGATTTACATGACTTATTGACACGCCAAGCTGTAACATCACACCATCATTTAGTGTGTGTATGTGTCTCTCTCTATAAATATTTAAAATTATTATTATCTAAAAGAAAAAAAATTATATAATATGATGTAGTAAAAAACTACTATGAAATATTTTCTTTTTTACTTAACTGGCAGGATATATCCGAAATCATGATAAGATAAAATAAAAATGTGAAAATAAGATTGAGAAAAATTTCGTACTAAATTCTCTTTCACTATCGTTTCTGAAAAAACTTGACTTTGACTTAAAGATTGAAAAAATTGATTCTTCTTAAAAATGAATCCTTCATCTCTGTATGTTAATTTATTCTAATAAATATTTCTCGTTAGTGCTGAGATCTACTTAGAAAAGAAAGACTACCCAAACAATCTACCTTGAGATACTAATCTCATAGGCACACGCGGTATACTTCCTGTGAAAACGCTTCCTCCGTACTAAAATCAATTCGTTCCGCTCTTGTGTATTTAACCCGGTTGCCATTTTTAGCGAAAATGTCTATTGACATCTAATTATGTTCCATTTTCTCGGCATGATTTATTCGCAAATCGCTTTTTCACAAATTTATTTCGGCGACCGAGATTTTAATATCCCGGCTAATATTATCGACCATCATGAGAGTGTTGCAGAAAATAATAGCATGTAACGATCGTAGAAAGTCATACAACAGATAGGCTATCTTTGTTCTGTTTGCGGATCCTCTCATTTACGATCGGCAATTTCGCGACAGCATCTTTTCCATTATTATATTCGTAGCTGCGCAATCATTGTCAGCTTTCCTACGTCCAGTCTAAACGCTCTT